GCCGCGTATCGATGCGATTCATATTACACTATCCAAAATTCTATACTGCTTATGTATTCACGGTATATTACAGTCTAGGTGCGGGCGCAGCGAAGATGATACGCTAAGTACGCATGTTGCAGCAATTAGTTGTCAGTTCAAAATCTATCCCCGCTGGGCGACAAATGAAAAGATTGAGGGAGCGTATGCGTTGTGTTCTCTTTGTGTCCTTTTTATGAAATATATGTGTAAGTATATAACACATGCATCAATTAGGTCAATAAGTGATAAATAACTATTGTTTCTCGGGAATGCCATTTCAAGTATTTCGTATGTAATTTCATTAATGAAAAAAAATAAACATCATTGCAAGTACGAAGAGAAACGGTTTATCGTTGCACACATTAGTACGTAAATATTTTCATTCTCGAATCTCTTTCGGTCGCGCCATTCTTTTCCTACATTCAGCGACAATTGAAATCTTATCACGAGCCGTGGCCATAGGTATTCCATCGTTCTCCTGTTGGGCAGAATTGTAATGCGGGACATCACATGAGGCAACAGCGTAGAAAAAATCGATACTGTCCGGCAACAGTGCCTTCGCATAGCAGATATACAAACCCAACTTGATGGTAACGGGTAACAAAATTTATTTGTAGGTACTGCCGTTAGATGTCGTATTATCAAGCCGTCCCAATTATCGATTATGTATGTGTTTTCGCTAGCGTTTGATTGTTTACATCAGCGCTTCGATCGATTCGGAGTTGGCCCCAAAGGAGTCCCCCCCTTGCGATCCAACGCGTTTATCGATCTCTTAAAGTGACAACAGAAACAAATGTTTATCGTTCGACAAATGAGCGATTCGAGAACTTATTTTCAGATTAATCAGGTTGACGCGATATCGCATTAGTAGTATTCGCAAACATTCCATTAGGGTGTCCCAGAAAAGATTACGCGGCTATCGTTACACTTTTCCTCTTGTCACCTTGTATTATTCTGTTCCAAAGACAGAGAAATCACGTGCAAAACAAATAGGGAGAAGACTATAGCTCACGGTGAAATGTATGTTAATGATTGACACTTATTTTTGTTGAACATCTGCATGGGCGAATTAAAATTTTTAAATTCGCAACACTTTCTTTGTATTTCTACGTGGCTTAATTAGTGTTTTCGATTTCTCAACACTTTCTTAACCTTAACTCAGTTGTCACAGATGTTTTTTCGCACGTATACATATACATAGTTGTCACACTGAGTTGATTTGACCGAAGTTAGTTTTCAATCAACTGCTGCTTAACAATTATCTATTAAATTAAGTCGCAACAATTCTGAGAAAAAATTTGAACATTGTAGAATATATTTTCATTGTAAAAAATTAACATTTAAAATATCATCATGTTTAAAGAAATTGTTGCAAAAATTTTGAAGAAAGTTTTCTTTGAATACCCGAAATTACTACTACAGTAGTACCATTTTCAAAGATGCCTCAAAGATATTTTACTTCAAAATCAAATTTTGGGTCATTTCGACCCACTGTGAGAACTGAAACTTAACAGCTTAATATATTATACTATTTTTAAGAAAATGAGTATTTTTATCGGACATTCAAATATTTCTGCAATACATATGATAAAATGAAAACTGGAGTATCAGCATTATTTGAAAAATGATATAAGTAGTATACATTCACAATGAAATTGTTCTGTTATCAAATTCAAAGGATTTACACACCAAAAATTATAATCAAATAAAAACGAAAACGGATAAAAACGAACACCAAATATGCTTACAATCTTATGTTTACCAGTTCATAAATACGATTACTAAAATATTATTATAAAATTGGCTATAAAATTCTGTACCACATCACAAATTCATAAAAATTCAAAAATTCCATAAATTCAAAAAGGGCTTAAGAATAATTAATTAAATATGCATTTTCATATTAATTTAATAGATTCCTGAAAAGATGAAATTAATGTTCTTTGCTTCTGGTTTCGTACAATAAGTCGATAAAATTAGGTACAGTCGGTGTCAAAAGTATTCGTACACTCTTTGAAACGGAATAACTTTTTTAAAATTGGTCCAAATGACTTGAGTTCTTTTGTGAAATTATAGCCATTAGTTTAGTAAATGATGTGTACAAACAAAATTGAAAAGTTGCAATTGGTTGGAATCGTAAAGAAAATAGTAAAGGTCGTTTTTTACAACTTTTTAATCTGAGGCTATAACGAAAATTTAATAAATACATATCGAAAATTTATGTTAGTTATATACATATTGAAAATTTCATCAAAATTTCATCAAATACTCTTCATAATTACCTTTTTTACCTTTTTTAATCTCATTTATAATGAAATTTTAGTGAATGTTCTAAAGCCTAGAAAGTATGAGAAAATGTAAAAAAAAATGGACATTTTCATCATATCGAAGTAGTGTAACATGTTGGAACAGTTTTAGGTTTCCATGAAATGGTGTTTGAACACAAGACTCACTGCATGTCTGAAAGTATTTCGTGTATGTACGTACCCTTGGCGTGTATTATGACTAACAATAAACTCGTATAATGCACATCCGTGTGTCTTCGCGGTGCGTGTTCAGCGCTCGTTGCTCTAACGACAGATTTCTCACTTCTATGATTGCGACACACTACCTACCTACTAACTAGAGTCTAGTTACTAGACGAACGCACACCGACTCGCGTTCATCTTTGCTCTAAGCCGACCGTGCATGATGCACACGTGTAGCAATACTAATACGAGTACATTAACGATGCTTGACTACTGGGTTTCGGTGGCAACATCAATTTCGATGAAAATATTCAGTTCCTGCGTACAGTCTCGCTCATAAATATTAGAACACTTATCGAATATCCACTAAATGTTACAAGGTATAACGAAATTACTGAAAGTCTGAAATAAATATTGTTTATGTGAAAATTCGCTGGACAACGATTACGCTGGTATGAAATAATAAAAGTGGCCTAAAATATATCATTTTTACGAAACACATTTTCCTTATACAGACTAGGTGTTATTATAGGTACTTATGAGATGTAGAGGTAGTGTACATATCTACTTTTAGTTGCATTTTAAAATCTCGAAATATAACCAAAGTAGAATTTTTGCATTTGTACTATATCATTTTTATAATATTTCTCGACGTGTATAGGATACTTGATAACGATCGGAGTTACTTTTCTTATATATTTATGAATTAATGTGAAATAAATCAAAATGATAGTTACTAGACTGCGGTAGTTTGTGTGATTAATTAATTATTGCGTCATTAGTTAATTTACAAGAAAGAAATAATAAATATAAATATGTGTTGTGCATTTATTTGAATCTAAATAAATATATGATATCAAAATAAAATGTTAAAAGTGACTAAAAATATGTAATGAAATAAAAATAAAAAATTATATTTGTAAGCTTTATTCAAGATTTCTTTATGGAGAAAAAAGAAGACAATGTTCTTAAAATTTACATACTATTGGAAGTTTATAAAGTATCTAGTCTACCTGTTGTAAGTGAAAACATATTGGATGTTCATAAAAATAAAAAATTTTCTGAACTTTTTTTTAATAAAGGAAAATAATTCAATCATTCATTTTCTTTACTAAAAATTTAGCAGATTTCGAAATAAAAGAAAGATTTTATTAAGCTTCGATTGAGGGTTTTATTTTATCTTGTTTTGAATATTCTTAAATTTTGCGAATTCATAAATCCCACAGTGATTAATAGTGTCTACTTTGATATATTGATTACTTGACTGACTACTTAATTGACTACTTCGACATACGCGGTGATATGTGGAATATATAATATTAACGGACAGTCATGACTAAATAAGAAAACTAAACAATAAAGTGTCTACAAATATGTATAAAACTTGACTTACTATGTTAATAGTACAATTTTCGAATAGATTAACGTATAGATTCGCAAATAAAGTCTGTTCCTTGATTTTTTCATTACATGTTGGAAGTTGTGCCGTCGTAGACCCGAAACGACGGCTTTAGAATCTGACATTACCGTTATCTTTTATTATTTTATTTCCTTCGTTCAAGCAATTTCAATTTCGTTGACACAAAGAGAGTGATAGACAAAAGAAACGAACATTTGGTCTGCAGTCTGCCACATGCGCTCGGTAACCTGGGACCCATCCGCGCCGGGCCTTACCGAAGCGCGCTGACTCGCAGACAATACAGCTATAAACCTTACCGTTGAGAGACTCGAAACTTCGTCGCGGTCAACTCGCACCGTGACTACGTGCGCGATATTTTACCGACGTCCGCTTCGCCCTGAAGGAGAGGTTTTCCACGTTCACGTCACTTGGAAAAACCGAGAAATTTGCCTTCCCCTTCAGGGCATAACCAATAAGGAAGCGAGGTTTGGTAACGCCTTCAGCGAATTTGGAGAAAGCGACGACACACGAAAATCAGACTCAAACCAGAATTCACCCGGTGAACATCACACACACACACACACACACACACACACACACACACACACACACACACACACACGCACGCACGCACGCACGCACACAAACACACAACTTGTAAATACAGTCATTACGAAACAATCAAAGTGTGCTTTATTTTCGGTTTCGAAATCTAAAGATCGTGTAACGGTTCCGGCGATTAAGTGCGAGCATTGCACGACCTAACAGAAGTCTTATTATACACAGTAACATAATATATTGTCGTCGCGTATACTAATTGTATATTTATTAATTCTTCAACCGATGGATATTATAATGTTTAATGAAGTGGAATTCAATGTTTGAATACAGAAATTACTTGAGTCCAATAACGTGTTCGAAAGCACAATTTATTGTTTGGATGGTTCATGATTATTCGAAGAACACAGTCATCTCATTGAAAATGAAAATTTCACACCCTATTTGTTCTCAATAGGTGAAACGTTTAATATATATGTAGTACTTGTTCCGAAAATAACAGATTATTCCTAATATGTACTATTAAAATTTCTTAAATGACGAAAAAGTCATACCTGTTGTGCGACTAGGTATCTTGAATCTTTTCTCTAGGGTCGTGAGGGTGACAACGATGTAAATGAAGGCCATCGCCTGTACGGTGCCGAGGAGACCATAGACAGCGATGAAATTTTTCGGTGTGGCACGATGTCGCAGCCAACGGGGATAAATCCCGCAAATTCCACAACCTTTGCTCATCCCTCCGACTATACTGCAATGTTTAAACGTTTGGCACTTTAACTTCCGCAATCAACTGTATTAACCTTTTTAGAAGTCTGAACTGATTATTTTACTAGCTACTACTCAGATTAATTTTTTGCGTTCTGTCGAAAGGATAGGAAAAAAGAATGGAGTGAAATTATATTGTGTGTTAGCTACTAAAGTGACCAACTACAAGTGAAATAATATCCTTTCCCGTTCATATCTTACCTAAGTAGGGTAAAAACAAGGAATGTCACCAGGTAGATTTATTAAGAAAATCAATGTTTAATACTAATTTACTAATAATACTAATTTTAACCAGTACATCTAATTTTTAACGTTATCTTTGTAACCTTTTCTGATTCGACAGTTCTGTAGTCCCAATTGTCACCGAAAACATGCGTTATACACCATAAAATCACTAGAAATGGACATTCCTTGCTTTTCCCTAGTACCCTTCATATAATATCTGCAATAACTTTATTATATATTTTTGTATTATTGTGTTAAAATTCATATAATTGTTATTTCTCCATTTAATGATTGTTTTCATTGGAGACAATTGGCAATTGGTTTTTATGTACTGTTTACGCTTCATTATTACAATGTTTCAAAATTACTATGATTAACGATCATTAATAGGTTTAAGAATTAGTATTTTTAAACTATTATTGATTCAATGAAATATTGAAAAAGTGAAACAAGTGTTGAAAATGAGAATTATAAACATTTTATTTGGTATAATTATATTTTCGTAGAATATATGACCGATGGAATCTTTCGAAGAATTAGAAGTATTTGGTTGTCTGTCAAATGGCAATTCATTTATTTACCTGACAGTTTGATTTGAATAATGAAGAAATCACAACTTGCACAATTTATTATTTGACTTTAATTCAAATCCTATTGTCACATTTGTCACGTTTACTGAAACGTTGTCAAATTTATAATCTTCCTTATCGAAAAAATTAAAAAAGAAATCTAAAAATATATAAGAGTTTCCTTTAAATTAACGAAATATTAATACATGAAATATATATATATATATTTTAATATTCTCGATATCTACATGTTACAGCCTCGATTACGTTATACAATTAAAATTTTTTTATTCCAAAGTACATATTAATAGAAGGAAATTACTTCGTAACTGCATATTTGTCACATAAATTTGAACAAAGATTTTCTGCAGGTGTACCTTGATACATATACAAAGGAAAGCGATATCATCATGATAAAGATGTATCAAGTATGTACAACTTGCAAGTTTAACTGCGATGTCAAACGCGGAAGTCTGCTTCTTAAATAAAAAGCCAAGAAGACAGCGATTATGACAATTGGATTAACTTCTCCGTGTGACATTTCTGTATGTAATGTCGCGGAATATTTTTCAGCAGCAACTCAACAGCAGTTATCTATGATTATACACTTTGCAATTGTTTAGTGAGTAATAATATGTTACTCAGTCTTTTTTCATTTTAATATAAATTTCTTGAAACATTGTTCATTTTTCGTTAAATTCTCCATATATCGACATGGATTACGTTATTTATATTAAACCAATACACCACGTACAACTTATTACTTTTCAAAGTACTTTTCGAAGTCCTCAAACTAAAAGTACTTCGAAGTGTTTAACTTAAAAGTACTTCGAAGTACGTACGATGTACTCCAAAAATATGTTAACCATAAAGTTTTAAATGTTCCAACTTAAAGATGTATTAATATTATCGCAAAGAGAACATTGCAAATCAGAAAGTACTTTATAAGTACATCGAAGTACTTTTTGATGTGCAATGTTGTCCTTGTGAGAATATTAATACGACTTTAAGGTAGAACATGTGTTCCCATATACATGACACGAGAATAATTCTTTAAAACATATAAAAATATATATGTATAGCAAATGGTATCTCTTATGAAATAAAATTAATCCGCTACTTAAAAATAAGCTTAGCATTTAGTGACTAATTCCTCTATGACAATTACAGATGACAAAGTGAATGAAAATATTTACTGACAAGTCTCGAATGATCTTTCCTCTGTTCTATGATGGAATACTAAATCATCTGGCCCTGAAACAAATTCTTAGTTTTGTAACCATCACTCGTATTATATTTTTAAATCCATATCATAAAACTTATCAATTATAATCGTTTTAGAATAACTTCATAGACATTGAAAACAATAGCAAGTAACAATTACTGTGTTACGTAAACTGTATCTGTGAATTATATCTGCATAGTTAATTCTATCGATCAATTTCGATCGCCAATTATTCCGAGGAAAGAGTTCCTGATTTAGCCCAAGAACCTTCTAGATAAGACCCTCACACGGCATATTTTCAGATATCGACTGTTTATCTAATTGATTTAGATACCATATATGCATAGATACCATACGTATATACTGTGCTAGATGACAAAGTAAAAACTTCTTAAACAATTTGGAACGCAAGAATACTTGAATCATTCGAAGAGAAAATAAGAATTTGAAAGACTTTTTGGTCCCATCTCACTTTCAGTAAAACTGTCTACGAATTGGTACCGACTGAATCGATCTGATGCGCATCAATGATGATCGATCAATTTGCATTAAAAACGTGAAGAATGGAGATGCAAAAATAAGAGTTTCAAAATTCAAAGTTCAAATTCAAATCTCCGAAATTTAAATTCAAATTCTTTGCTTTCGTGAGAAAGGAAACGCGTTGTTTCCTTTTATTGACGTGACGGAGCAGTCGAAAACTCAGTGTAATGGATTTATTTACCAACGGCTTCGCACGTAATTGTCGTGTGCACCACGGGCACCTGAGATGATTACGCAATTGCAATTTAACTTGGTATAGATTTCGTTGTGACGCTCGGAGACTGCATTAATACGGAGTTCCAGTCGATTGTTACTTCCGCCACGTCGTGCTACATGAAGCACGCTAAGAATTGCGGACCCAACTTCAAGATAAGATTTCTCAACTGAGAAAAGTTCATTTTTACCTCCTAAACTTACAGATTAATTGGAATCTATCGCAAACATTCTTTTTCTTTCAAACCATTAGAATCGGAAATAAATTTAACTAATTCAAGTAATAGAACGAATTGTTCACACAAACATGGCTTCTGTCTAATATATTTACCTGAAATGTTAGATTTTTAATTCCACCTTCAATATTAATAAAAAAAAAGTCATATCCATTCTCCTATAGAGTCTTTTAAATGTGTTCATGGTGAATCGGTTACAGATACAGTCGCGAGATTGCTAAACAGTTACCGATAATTGTCAGCAAAAATGCATCCTTCACAATGACGTAAGAATCAACGGTCATGATTGTTTCTTTCTAATTTTTATCGTGTCGTTGCTTCCAACACAATAGAACACGCGTACGCTCATTGCTTTTAAATGATTCTGTACGATACAAGAAAACACAATAAACAATTTAATTTACTTGAATGGATTTTTGCGAAATTAGAACACTTTTGTAATATGTAGATCAAAGACCAAATTAATGTTTTACGATCAATAGCTATTAAATGAAGGAATTAATTGATGTAATGTAAAGTTTTGAACAGTAAACAGAAAAAATCTAATTACAAAAAAGAGATACAAAAACACGCGAGAATTACAAATTAACATAGTCATTAGTACCAATCCCAATATAAATAAAAATTTCCATACGATAAAAAAGTTCATTTCGTTTGGAAAATACAGAACAAGATTGTGAGTCAGTTAATCACACAAACTAAATAATTCATTAGTATTGAGTTCACTAACTTTTAACGTTATGTTTCACCAAAACATTTCCTTATATCTCATGGAATATGGGTGGTATACTTATGTAGTGTTCGCTAGAATCATTATATCTTTCTGTGCATTATTCGGGATTGACCGCCTCTGAGACAGTTTCCTAACGAAACAAAATAATTTTTTAAAGAGACACTTGGAAGAAGCGACAGAAACCGTTTTGTAGGAGGTGGCTAAAACACGCAAGAATTCAATTAGTCTCACCTTGACCTTAGGCCACGTGCTTCCGCATGGACTCAGGAAGGACTTCCAGGTCGCGAGTCCTGTCTGGATCCGCGATCCTCGAGAGTCTTTCCCCGCTCGTGACCTCCCTTGTCCGCCGAGTAACTCAAAAAAAAAAATCACTAAGCGCTATGAGCGCTCTAGTTTACGCGAATAAACGCGGGATAACTGAGCTCGCTCGTGTGTCAATGGCAATGCTCCCCTACTATTGCTCTATCAAAACGAATGATAAGCGGGGGCGTCATTCAGAAGACGCATATTATAATGAAGCACATCGGTGCTGACATCTTATCATTCCGCCGCACAATGACTGATGAACTGACAATCCGGATGGTATCGAGACTGGTTGCAGTCCGTGCTAAGTTGGCGTAGTTTATTTATGAAAATAAAAATGCGGCAAAACACGCGCATACGTTCTGGAAATGGATACTTTTATAGTTATTGGCAATTTACGAAAAAGAAAGTTCACAAAAAATTTTGTTCTTCTATTAAGGGCCAAAACAGTTACACCAACGGCCATGACCGAGTTTTTTTGGACCCACACCTTGTGATTACAATATTTATGTAATTACGCTTATGCTGTGTAGTGATCGTGAATATTTGTTTCACACACCTCTTAGAATACAAAATTACCTTAATTCTTTGGTAAACATTTTTCATTTTTAATAAGAAATCAATGTTTAACCCTTTGAACTCGTTTGTTGAATTTGATTCGACATGATGTTCATTCACAGTCCATTCCAATACTATTATCAATACAATTAGAACAAAAATTTGTTTAAATTAATTCCTACCAACCAACTGTCTTTTGAAGTACATTAAACAATTTAAAACAAAACACCTAAAATAATAGGGAGTTATTGGAATGAAAATTTTAAAAAATATGAGGAGCGGAAAGGGTTCAAAATCGTAAACTTATTTTGTACATTCTATTGTTTTTAATACTGTAGAATACTCTGCAGACACAAATTGTTTGTACATTTTTGTAGCGACATTCGTTGTGGTTCAAGTCAATTTTCATCATGTCTTTCTTTCTTTCCTTCCTGGTTTAAAAGATATAACTTTTCACGAAAATCTCGTCTAGATATTCGTTTACCAATTTATCAAGGATGTATATTTATAACGTAACATCGAAGTTTCTATTCGGTACTTTGTTGATTTTTAGAGCATGTAAACCTTGCAGAGCATTTCCTCTAAATGGAACAAGTTGCACATCGATAGTCTCTGCCTTAACTGGTTTGGAAGAGTTTTTGCAATTTTCTAACAATTGCTCAAGGAAGTGTCTTATTGGAGCAAGCGTGTCCATTTCTTCCGTCTGTAAACACGTTTTAAAATTTTCGAGACAAAGAAATCGTAAAATTTCTATAAATGTGTTACGACTCATTGCAGCAGTGTAAATCGATCGAGTAAATTTTTCATCATTGCCCAGCAAAGCTACATGAAGTGTACAAGGAATACCAAAAACCTTACTGTCATAACAAATTAACGAAGAATATTAATGAAAGAAAACTGATCCATGGGTTAGGTTATTTTATCTATAAGCCTATATTAAAAGTTTTGTTATATATTACAGCCTATCTATGAGACTTACGGTAGCTTTAATAGAAGTGGTTAATAAATCCATAGCAGAATAGTCACTATGATATAGAGATAGATTGTAACTTAATAAAATACGGAAGACTCCTAAAGAAATAAGATAATGATTTGATAAATAGAAGTGACAAGGAAATAGTATTTTCGTGATAATACTTGAGTTCGTTTTTATTGGGAGAATTTTATGGCGTTTATGGCTACGTTTCAATTACTTTGGAACATTGTTTACAAAATATCAATAGTAAATGGAATTCATATTTATTTAAAGCTTCTTGAATACTTGTTAGATTTCCACGCTGTCCTGGGTGTATTTCCATTCCTTCATGGGCTGCAATACCACTAAAATAGTAACTTATTACTAATTTCTAAATAATAAATTACTTTTACTTATTTATATTAATCACACGTTCCATTTTTGTACACTAATTTCTCTGATTTAGTCTTGTTTTTGTTTCCTCTACATGTCTTTAGATCAGAAGCGTTCATTTCGATATAAATTGTGATACAATGCATATACTCTGAACTCATGATTGGAATTAATTTCATGATCTTAGTACACAGTTTTCTTTACGTTAAGTTCACAATATTAAACGATAAATTAGAAATAAACAATTTCTATGAATTCTTTTCTTTTATATATGTATTTCTATCAGGCATGAAATCATAGAAACGGACACACTACAATACGCAATATGAATTATTTTCAAATTATTAAAAAATCCATGGACATTTGGTGAACTATTAGGAACTTCTGTGAATTCAATTTACAAATTTTTTGCCAAGAGTTGCTTTTGACACGGACCCCCCAATTAATTGCATCGACACAGTCTGAAAGAACGACAGACCTATGGAGGCTCGTGAAGGGACCGAAATCGTAAATTTATTTTGCCAAGAGGCGCGACTGGTTATTTTTGCTCCATCGGCGACTTAGCCGACGAGGGCGGTTTCCTCGTTACTCGTTTTTGCAGCATGCCGCGACGCTCGGCGTCCAATTCCACAAGGCCATTAGGATTATCTTTAGCCGCGAAAAACAACAAGATGGAGTTCTATCCCCGCGACAGAGTCACTCGCCGCTATTGCCAAAGGGAACACGGAAATTTCGTACAGTACGACTCGGTTCAACGAGCTACAAATGAACGTATAGCTTGTTCCGTGCGTATCCAATGTATGCAGTTAAAGATAGATTCGACTTTTTGAAATTTAAATAATTTCTGAAGGCAATCTACATTTTATCCAATATTTTGACAATATTTACAAAATCGACAAGAGCATACTATCTCAGTTAACTGATTTTTTTAAAGTCAACAAGATATTCAAAATGTAGATCTTATGATAGAACATCCATTGAATAAAAATATTCTACGATTGTTCTATCTACTTGCATACATAATACGACATACACGACGTTTCCAAACTTCTTGATGAGATACAGATAAGAAGGACAAAAGAGGCATGATTTTTGTGAAAATTGAGATTTTATTTCCTTTTTTTGTCATTTTTCAGTAATCAGAGTTCGTGTTTCGTCGTCTGGCGAAGAGATTAGGTGACTTGCAGAAAAGCAACAGACAACAAGAGCCGCAATTCATCGTTAAGACCAGGACCCGTCCGTTCTCTTTTTCTCTCGTTTCTCTTAGAGACAATAATAATTCGTTTCTCGGTTTCCGTTTGGTTAACCTTATCGGTACACCGTATATTATTAATATTACTGAAGATAACAGACGATATATTACAATGATTAATCCTACGAGTATAGGATGATGTCCGAAACGATCGTAGTTTCCCGTGACGAGGATTTCGGCGGTTCCTCGCGGGTGTTCATCTTGGATTTCATTTTCCCTCCTTTCGTCGCGACGGAAAATTATGTTCACTTTCAAATAGTAAATTTTAATAATAATAATAATAATAATAATAATAATAATATAATATCAATAGTATTAATTTATTTTCCTATTACCTTAATCGATCGGTTACGTAATAATTAATACTTAACATTAAACCTTCCTAACAGCGCGCCTCCTTTCGCTAAACTTTTTACAAGACTTTTGGTTTCTTTCGCCGTTTCCTCATGCATATTAACGTCTACTTAAAATTCTAACGAATCGAGTGTACCTCTTTTAAGGCCTCGAAGGGTTTAGGACTAGACAGTCTCATTCTTCATAGCCCGATCCTCCGTCTCCCTTCTCGCTAGTTTAGTCGTCGCTCCATTCATTTTTTTTTCTCATTTTTTTCTGTTCCTATGTCCCCGTCGTCACGTTTCATTTTAGCTTCACCCTCCGTACACGCGTTAACGAATCACTGACTAGTTTCTAACCATTAAGACTATTCGGCCGTGCTAATTAAGGCACCAGGATCACTCGCAAGAATCGGACGAACGAATTCTCTTCGCGGCGTGACATTCCGTTTGCTGGCTGGCTTTTTTCGTACAGGATGACGCTGTAAGGGCACTTCGAAAAATGTACTGATGTACCACATACGGTAGATAATTAAGGCTCTTTAAAAAATGTCGCTTCCAAGATATAGCAATTTTTACTTGACTCAACAACTTACTGTACACATTCGAAATGGTAGTCTTTAACGACATAGAAATCTATAACTCTTCAATGATACTTCATACACTCTTTATAAGAGCCTATAGTTTATAAAAATATATATATGCATATTGTAGTTAGAACGATTTTCGTTTTAATTTTACATTGCTGGGGTTAATAAATGTCCTAAATAAAAATTACTATACTTTGAGAAGGAAATGTTTGAAAGTTCATGTGTCTTGGTAAATTCTTCTTTGTTTTCGATTATGGACGGCACATATAAATTTCTTGATACCTTTGTCGGCGCATCCTTTCAAAAAATGTCTTGCAAATTAAGGTACTAATTATCAGACTTGACACAAAAATACAGTTTGAAGAACAAAAGGCAGTTTGTAGTTGAAATGTAAATAATTGAATATGTAGTTCTGTTATTAAAGAAAAATGGTTAAAAAGAGTATAAATTGAATTTGGTTAAAAATCAATTTCTATTGATTTTAATGCGTGGAAAAATCAGGTAACGTCTATTTTATAGAAAAAAAAAACGAAATAATCTATGGATGTTTTCACAGAATTCTGTGGCTTTCGCAAGACCGATTCGTTCGTCCGTTGGTCCTCCTTGGATTCGTACCACAAAACACTGATCAGTTCGTTTCAGTGACTCCGACGAGTCACGCAAGTAAGGCATCGTCTTCAAGACACTTCGTAAATTTCGCCTCTAAAGCGATTGTTCAAGGCAACATTGATACGTTAATTTACTTACAACGTGGCCATCGTTACTAAAAGCGTCTACAACATTCATCCTAATGAATCACTTAGAAAGTTCTTTCTAATCTGTCGTAAACGACATATGTATTCCTAAACGGCAAGAGTTATAGCCACGAAGCTAACAATGCCCTGTCGAAATAAATTTATATCGTTCCCTCTCGTCTATGTTTCACGTCCCTCGAGTTTCCGCGTGGTCGATTGAATATACTATACAAAGTGTTCGAACTCGAATATAAAGTAAACACTTAAACAATTTATCACCTCATTAAATTTCATAACTGTCGGTATAAATAAATTAAAAAGGGGGGATTAATTTCAAACTTACATACGATGTACGAACACTGTGCACGCCGACCTCATTGTTGTCAGATCGTTCATAAATATCACAACCCCTTTCGTTTGATAATTACAAATTACGCGAGAGCTTCGTGATCATTTTACTCACGTTCATGCGGTTGGTCGGGTCAAAAAGATTTTCCTAGGCACAAAATAGAAAAAGGATCGGTGCCCGATGAACCTATCGTATCTAAACACACGACGCATCTAGATTCATAGAATTTTCTCAATCCTCGACCAATAGTCAGAACAGATACCCGTAAAAGAGTCAAAATTACGTTCTTAAACATCTTCCTCCCCGGAAAATTGCGACAAAATTTAGAGATAGTAGCGGAGATCCACAAAGGACGTCGAGAACTCTTCAGTGGAAGAAACGCGTCTTGAAATTGAAATTGTGAACAACGTTTTCTTTATATCGATTCTGCATTAGCGTTTGTATTCAGCCCAACAAAGAGTATTTCTAGGTCGAACGCCTACCTCACTAAAGAATCCTATTCCGATTCGTTCCCGTCGTTCATATCATTTGAAAAACTTTCAGTCCACATGAAGCCTCGACTATCCATCGTGTACCCTCTATTTCCAAACGATTAAAATTTTACCGTTATTACGTTTCGTCGCGTGTTCCGATGAGTATTGGTCAAGCGCGTCGGTTTCTTCGCCCTAAGAATGGGGAACGTGAATAGGAAGATTGAAATGGGGAAGATTGAAGATTAAATTAGTAAGAAACTGTGCGAGTCACCGTTCGTGAACGGGTGCTACGGCCACGCCGTGTAGCGTGGTCCTCTTCTTCGCGTTCCGTTCCTCTGGCCCGGTCCAGTGCGCCGACTCCGAATATAACTCCCGGGAACGTGGAACGGAACCTCCGAATATGTAGCATCTGGTCGCGCGTGCGCGGTTGCACCGGATGACGAGGGCCCCCGACGATCCCTTAACGCACGAAAATGGCGGATGCTGTGAGCGCAGAGGACAAAGCGAAGAACGAAGTATTTTTTTCTGCACGGCGAGGATCGAGTTTTTGAAAACGCGAATTTAAACGCCGCGCGCCCCGGAATTCGATCGACCGACGACGACAGTTGACGTATCCATTGGCGGCGGTTCGTTCGTCGGTTCGCAGCCTCTACTGCAATCTCGCTTCCTGAGGTGATGTTTGGTACGGTAGCCCCGGGAAGGCCGCGCCCGCCGCGGTTGCAGCTGCAGCTGCGGCTGCTGGCAATCCAGCTGCACCTGGTAGCGTCGCGTACGTATACGGTGTCACGTAGCTAGCTGCCGCCGCATTTGCTGTAAAATAAAAAAAAACATACAAATCGTATTTCGAGATTCCGTGTACTTTTATGGACGGAGAAAATATTTTGGTGCAGATAACCCTTCGAGAACGCGCGGAACAGACCTCTTTGAGGATTATTTTTCTTTGGTGCAAAGTCTATGCAAAGTGCAACTTGTTTCGTTGATGTTAATTTAGCGTTTTGTTTAAGATAAAGGTTGGAATTTAATGAGTACCGTAAATTGGGGTAACTTTGACTCAGTCAGAGTAAGTTAGTCCCGAAGTCAGAAAATGATTTTCGATTTTGTAGCTCTTTTGTGGGTATTTTTACGTGAAATACACGTTCAAGTAAAAATCAAGTTAATTTAACAATTTGCAGAGTCACAAAATCAAAAATGATCATTTTCTGATTTGGGACGAAGTGACTCTAATTGAGTCAAAGTATAGCTTACTAGTTGCACTTCATAGTCCTGCATATATTTTCGAAAAATGTTCCAGAATTGTACGAAGCAATAATTATGATTATTGTAGCAAAGTAGTACTTAGCGAAGGATTGTTTTCCATTTGGTTACCTGCAACTTTCTGTTGCGAGTCGGTGCTGCAGAAAATTCGTACTCTTTTCTGGCTATGCCTTAATATTTTCACGATTAGAGTTTGAACGTTTGGCAAGACACTAGTGTTGCAAAATGAAAGCTTATTAACTACTGTCATCCACTGTGACTACTTATCCCACCACCACCGTAGACAGCACATCAGAGCATTAACAAAATTGCATGATCATCGTGTTGAGTGCGAAGCTATAGGCGTAAGCATGCAATGATGCGTTTCCACTTTGTTTCTCGTGTATCTGTTCTACCGACAGGCGAGACATTCCAGCGTAAATTAAAACAACGTCCGTGCGGACACTCTTCGTTCGATCAAATATCATCAAACGGACGAAAACGCAACAACTATAACGAAACCATATCGTTCCGTGGAAAATTTCACGATAAAGAGATTACAGAAAGTTCTCCTGCTAGAAAGATCGCGGAAAACAGTGTAATTCAATGTAAACACATCAACATTACAGAACATTCACTAACTCAATTCGAAGAAGCGACAGGTGAGACGAGCAGAAAGGATCCATAGCAAGATTCCCATTGGAAAAAATTTAAATCCATCTTTTCAGATTTTGTTCTGATCATTTTTAAATTTATATCACAAAACTTCGATTTCGACGACAAAAGAAGAAGTGGAAATATGTTCGGAATTGTAAATGAAAACATAAATAAATGATAAACAGAACTTGTAATAGCAACCAAAACAAATCGAAGAATTATGATTTTCTAAACAAGGAATTTAAAATATTTGATTAGCTCTTCTCGAAAACGAGTACTTGCTGTTTATCTGAACTTGAATACGCAGGAAGAGGTTCACAATGATATACATAAGCCTCAAAAAATAATTAAGAAAAATTACTGTCAGAAAAAGCCATACCATATGTAGAATTGAATATAGATACTAAAAATGCAAGTCTAGTAGTTATGTATTCTGAAACACCTCGTATATACGTGAAATATTTTTAAATCTTCAATACAATCGTAACAAGGTCATCGACACGTGCAGCACTTTGAATACTGTTAATTGTATCTAAATCTACCTTGTTACACACAAAGGAACAGCAGTTCTGTAGCTTTCACGACGCATGCATCACTTTCGCCATTACCATCAAAAGAAGTATCAGACTATGCTGCACGTGTATTTCAAGACGAAATGAGCTTGCATTCTCATACTACGATTGCTCGAATATTACGAAAACAAATCTCGAGAACGTAATATATTGTTATTAAAATTTGGAATTTTCCAACAAAAAAAGAAATTAAATTGCAATGGAAAATATATCATGGGAATCTTGCAGAGGTTCACCCTGCGAGTGCATCTACTCCACTACGAAAAAGGAAGGCTTCAAGAAGATCTCCTTGCTCTCTTTCTCTTTCACTCTCTCACTCGCCGACTCTCTCTCCCTCTCTTTCTCTCTCTCTCTAGCGTTCCTTTCTTTTTCAGTGTGTTCTGTTCTCGAGTAATGGTCTACCGTTGCTACGTAGCAAGGACGGCAGAAAGGGCGGCAGGAGAGCTTTCTCCAATCGTTGCTGTGCCAGCATCGCGGAGCTGCTGCCGGTGTGCTGATGGTGGTGTATCAGCCCGTTGCTGTCCTTGCTCTGGACAGTTTTCAAACACATACCAGCCGCGGCAGCGCTGGTATAAGGGTAAGCCTCTGCAAAATTGTACGATGTCCCCGGATACGTCGCGGCCGCAGCAGCGACGTTCTGATACTCGTAAAATTGGGACGCGGCCGCCATCGCCGCAGCGTGGCTCAGCTGAGTCGCTGGAAGTGGTACCAAGCTACCTGGCGCTGCGGCCGCCAGATAAGGCGACTGGTACATGTAACCCGGTGGCACTCTGAAACGAAAACGATGCACGGTTAGAGGGGCTGCACGACCAGGAAGGAGACGGTGGCGGCACTCAGACATCTAATACAGAGAATACTTGTCGGCTAATCGTGGTGGACTGTGATAGTTAAGTTTTTGCATAATAAATGTCGTTTTTCTTTCCAGACACCTTGAAATCGCTAAACGTGGAATCAAGAAGCTTGTGGGTTGAAGGGGAATCGCCTAAATTGAACCACTACTGTAGCTTGTCATGTGTAAGCAATTTGTGACATACAATAGACAATATGTATATGATAGTGATGATTCCCCATTAACTAACTTAGTATATAAGCAACAGATATTGTCTATCATAAGGCGCAAATTGCTTATGCATGAAAAGTTACAGTAGTGGTCCAATCTAGGTAATGATCCCAATTCGATAACCTTCCGCTAACTAGACTGCGGATTTTTATGCATTTGTGACACAAACAAGGGTGATAAGTGTAATAAAATCAAATTTTTCACATAATTATGGCTTAATAAAGCCCTTTATTTCAGAAATTAACTTTTTCATGACTCTGATTTCTGTGAAATAACTGACGATAGTTGCCTAAACATCTGCAGTCTAATTATGACTCATTGATGAAAGTCTGTCGATTCAGGAGAAAAAATCTTTTCAAGATAAATGATAATCCTTCAAACTCTGCAGATTAAGAAACGACATTTATGGTGCAATAACAGAATAGTTACTGATTCAGGATTCAAATATAACGTTGATGCCATTGGTTTGCGTTGCTGCATAATTCGACAACTTTTAGAATTCTGTAGTAAAGCATTTATTAAGGATTGGTTCGAATTAATATTTTAGTTGCGACTGAGTCAACAGAAATTATCAGCCAACTTAATCGATACTTTATAGTGAGGTCACTCTACTTGCCCAGTCTCAGTCCACCAAGATTACTACGTAATCACACTTGCTTCTTGAAACAACCTGTGGTCCACGATGTTTCACGATTTTAAATCCTTCAATCGATGAAACTCGACGAGCATCGGCTGCTTCAACCGTACATTTATTCCTATACAGTTCAAGGCCATTGGAGGGTGGGGTGAAAGGTTTGGATATTATTTCGTGTAATTAATTGGATATTAATTCGTGTAAAACGATGTAAAAAAGTGTCCTGAATGTAAAACCCGACTATCCTCATTAATCCTTATGCACACGGACGGCGTATTTCGTACGGAGAAGTTTTCTATTTCTCTAAATTTGTTTACTCGAAAAAAACGTTTACCTCTCATCCTAATTGTCTACCATTAAAAACAGAAAATTATTAAATAAAAGAAAAAATGTTCTACTGCCGTTTAAAATTACGAAAGAAAGAAATGGCGTAGGTATTCACGGATCGTGTTCTTGAGGGTTAGTTTTGCAATTAAGATACACGGTATATGAAACGATCGTTTTATCAGTGAAATTTTCAAATAGATAACTTGGCGACCGTTAATACATCAATATATTCGAACTTGACATTAAGAGTCTTATGCGAGCATATTTTCGCTTTGCACAATTCCGAGGCGACATAATTGTGCCAGAAAACTGTCGGAAACATCACAGAACAGACGATCTTTATCACAGTTCGTATTACAGGCGAATCGATCGTGATGCCTCGTGATTTCCCGCGAAAATGTATGACGCTGAATTAGTAATTGGTTCCACGTATTTTCGAAGCCGCGTCCCGATAGGGCGTTCGATAATGTATCGATAAAAACATTTTATTGTCGATGATGTGTTGGTGTGAGATATTGGTGTGGCGGGCCAGACGATTGGGATAGGAAAAACGCTCGAGGAAACTGGAAAGGAAGGCAACGGGAGTATGAGAGAATGGGGTGGTGTGGTAGTATCACTAAGGCGTGACAAAAAATGCGCAACAAATCCAGAAAAAAAAAAAGAAATTCTTAACGTGTCGGCAAAACAACAGCAAACCAACGACAAACGTGTATGTAGGTAACTCCACGAATAGAAAAAGATACTTCTCGACACACGGCACACGGCACACGATTACCTAACAACAACGTTAGTACCTAAAATTCTCACAAGGCCTAAGAAAGAAAAAAGAAAAGTGATACACGTGGTCCACGCACCGCCAGTGCCTCTGTCTCTATCTCTTTTCCTCTCTTTTTCTTTTTCGTTTGATCATTTCTTCTTTTTTCGGTTTGTTAACGAAAAACTGATCGCGTGCAAAGACTCACCATCCCGACCTCAGTTCTCCCGTTGCCCCCGTTCACCAATTTTAATAATGATGGGTAATCGAGCCGCTTCAGCCGGAAACGGAGCTCACAGAGTTACTCGAGCCGACTCGAGTCACCGAGCCAGCTCAAGGAGCGGTGGCGACTCACGAGCAGAACCCCGGTTCTGCAGAACTGAAAGGAATCCAGCCAGCTCTACGAGCACTCGATCCACGGCAGGACCTCCGAGCCTCGGCAAGTAGATATGTTATCTAATCCCGTATTTAGCCTCCGTCGACCGACGCTCGGGGTACAATGTCGACACACGGAATCAATCATGCATCAATAAACATTTAAACTTCTTTTAGTTTAGTTTCTTAAAAATGTTCGGAATAAATTTAGGAGATTCTCCTGATGCAAATAAGTCCAAACACAACATAATTTGAACTATTTCTAGCATTACATGTATATATAGTTCGAATCGCAACATTAAAGGAAAATCTTTATCTTTTCGATGAAGTAAAAATAATTGTTTATTGTATATATATCCCATCATTTGCATAAAGATTCTTAGTAGATATTCTTGCAGTATTCTAACTTGCAAACATTCGATAATGAAAAACTACTTTTAAGTATTGAACTTGGTGTCACTCGTGCATTGTTTTATTATGCTGATATAGTATTGGATGTTCCTATTAGAAACTTAATAAAGAACATATAAAACAAAAAGTAAGCTATAATAAATAAAAAAATATAAAATTTAATAAAGAAATATTTTTACACGGAAGAAACGTCAAACAAATCGGTTTTGCGTTTTTTGAAGTGCGACGCACCTCACAAAAAAATTTGAAAAATTGAAAAACCAGAATTTTCAAACGAAGAAAAATTGGAGAAAGTTATGTAATAGGTACCCGGTATTTGCAATGTATGAGATTTTTTTCACAATTTAATGCAGAAATCTAGCGAGAACAATTGTTATTCATACGTTATGTAGCGATACGAATTGTATGTTAATAAATGTCTGATTTATGTCATATTTGGATTTATTTTCATCGGGACAATCTCCAAAATTTATTCATAACATTTTTAAGAAACTACACTGAAAGGAGTAAAAGTTAAAATTTTTATTCATGCGTGATTCATTCTGCGTTTGACATTGTAACCGAATGTCGATCGACGGAGGCTTATAAAGGACAATAGGAGTGTCAGATAACATAATGTCTACGCGCCGAGGCTTGGCTTAGCAGATCCTCGAGCCTCCGCTGAGCTCATAAAGCTGTCACCCGAGCTCGCTCGAGCCGAGCTAGAAGAACCATTGGCTCGAGCCGGCCCGAGCAACTCGATTCAATTACCCATCACTACACATTTATCGTAACGCGGCCAACCGAAAAACAGTTCTTTTTGGCCGGAAGACGCTCGAAATCGATTTGTAGAAGCTCAATTAGGTCAATTAGTTCAATTTTAACAGGGTAAAATATTTCTTCACCGGTTGGAACCAATTATTTTTAATTGCGATTTCTACATCGACGCGTACAATGTGAAAATTACACAAAAATGCTTACTTTTTTTTTCATGTCACATCTTGTTTATTTGTTGTCTTGTACATTGTGTCTACTTTGTTATACAACCTTAAGGTGTTTCTACCAATATGGTATTTTCGTTTGTTTTTTTTTTATTTTCGTCAAAATTCTTTGTGCAAGTTTAACGACGAACCTGCGCGACTCAAAAATCGTGTTTCTAAAGGACATGTGACACAGGAGACAGCCCTGAACTTTTTAACGGATCGATAATAGCCAGTGTCCAGTTCACGAAGGAAATCAATACATTGTCCTGCGGCTTCAAATGATAGACCGTTCGTCGGATTGGTGTCTACCGGAGACGGGTTATTAAGCATATATTTTCGAAAAGCTCACGATTTTGCGGGCACGTCGTCTCGTTCGATTTGTACGCCGAAATTGAATTCGTCGGTTCGAACGAGATTCCTGTGAATTTCTAATGCAGTATAGGAGAGTTATTAATGAAAATCTATTGAATGATTTAAAAAAAAAAAACAACTAATTCATTAACACGAGAACCACCAAACCCGTAAAAATGACGAATTTCATATTTCTTGTTTTACAATTGCTAAAATCATAAAACTTCTTTTGTCGGAATTTATGTTCACCTTTGATTTATTACATATTTTACATTATACTGTATTATATTATATTGTATTATATATTATACGTATCAATATATTGTTCAATTTAAGTTAGTATACATTTTCTAGAGTGGTAGTTCTAGTGTTAAATGAAACGTTCTCCAGTAAAATTTGTTGAACCCAGTATTTTATTTCCTGGTTTTCTAACAAGCGACATAACTTTTTTCTGGAATCGTGTGTTTGCTTCAAATACCCTTAATAAAATTAGTGAATAACTATACGAATGATAGATAATTACCGCCTGATATGTTCGCATCATGAAGATGTAAAAGCTAATTTATAGATTTCCCAGAATGGTCTTTAACGAGATGTCAGTAGATATCGTCCTACTTCTTTCGTTCCCTAACAATAATGGTTGGGACATTCGAGACTTTTAAAACTTTAAAGCATTTAAAAATTTAAAACTTCCCTTATGGCGATGAAAGCTTATAACTTGACTGTTGTATGAATGTATATATGTACTTTTATTTTTATCCCGTATTATACAAGAGTATTATTTATGCAGAACAAATCATCACATTTCATCGTCGATTTTGAAATGCATTTACGAAGAACTTCGATACATGTAGAAAATGACACGTTTCCAACATCTATAGATAAATATAATAAAA